GAGGACGGGGCCGGCACGAGGGCGTTGTCTGCGTCCCCGCGACTGCACGTCGGCTCGCGGTCCGGTCACGGGCAGCCCTTGCCTTGGCAGAGGTCAGGCTGGCGCCGCAGCTGCGACAGGCCGGAGAAACGGGGTGACTTCTGGCTCAAGGCCTGCCGGCAGGGCGATGCTTCCTCGTGGGTAGTCGGGGGTGTATCGGTGCACCCGCTCTGCGTTAAAACCTGTGCCTGAACTTCTGATCCTTCCTCTTACGTGCCATCTCTGCGTGCTTGCCAATGAGTCCACGTGCTTCCCGCGGCCTTCAGGCAGCCGTGTTCCAGCCCAGGGCAATGTCAAACAGGAGGCACACCCAGACTCCTGCTCCACACGCACGTGGCCCGCGTGTGGTAAGGGGCCTGATCCTGGCACCGGCCGGCTAGCCTTGATCCATGCTCTGCAGCAGTTGTACTTTGAATCGCACCCATCTGCTGAGATTTAAGAAATCCTCAGTATTGCCCTGATTCCAATTCTGTTTGCTAGCAACTCATAATACGTTATAATCAGAGTCTGGTAAAACTGGAAGACAAGGCTCTCTTAACAAGAGGTTCACCCTTCTTCACCAGGCTCCCGCCGCAGCGTGGTTTAAGACCAAGCATGGTCGGGAGGTAGGCCAGGGAATGCGCTTGGCTGCAGCCTCTACAGCTGCATTTCACCTTTGGAGGACAAGCTTGCAAGGCATTGTGACATGACCTAAACTACAGCGGCTGCAGACGCTTACAGAAGAATTACTAGTTACTGGTTTGTTAAAAGTAGAACATTATTTAACATAACACTCACGCTGGGCCTTAGCTACCTTAAACTATGCCTTTTCTAATACAGTATGATTTCAACTCATTTTAGTGGATTTATATAGTACAAAACTGGTGCAGCACAGTTCAGCTCTACAGTTACTGAAGAGATAAAAACTCCCAAGTTTTCACCATCTTGCCCATATCCCTTCCAGTATAGTGCTCTGTAACAATATAAGCACAGAAGACAGCTGAGCAGGAGGCACATACTGAATAACCCAGCTACTACTTCTGGGCACGGAGCCATAATGCAGCTGATGGCGCAGGTGTCCTACCACGCTGAAGAAACACGCCTTTGGTCAGCTCAGCAGCTCCAGCTGAACTTCCCCAGAGCACGACCTGCTACACCAACCTTAGGATTTGGCTCGACTTGCTGTATTCAACAACACAGTTAACCCAGGCAGACTGTCACATGCAGGCAAGAATGACACGCGCCTCATAGCACCGTCACAGAAGTCTCGGTTGGCTAAGTCCCTCTTGAGTAAACTAGACTCCAGCTGCTGAGTAGGAAAAGGTCAGCTGAAACTTGGCATTCTTTAAATACTTTCATTTAGCAACCGAGAGCCTGAAGTGCCATTCAATTCATGGGCAGCAATGAAGACAGGCCAGAATTGTTCGTTTTGCCGTTACTTGTTCTGCTCTACTCACTTGCATCTAAACAACTATTGGTAGCAACGTTTTATCTAAAAGCCAAACACCAATACTTGTTTTTAATTAGCTAATAATCTAGTAACTGAGACTTGGGCTCTTATCTTGAAATCACATATAAATTATTACAATTCTCACAGACTTTTCTGATTTTTAAACATATAGAAAACCACTGCTCCTTGCAATCATGAAGGATGAACATGTGACTATTTATTTATATATATCTAATGGCAATTTATATGCACAACTAGTACTAACAGGGTTACAGTCTGAACAATCAGTTTCTTTGGTTTTAGCTGACAATTACCTTCTAACAGCTGTACTATTAACAAGTACTATTGAACAGCAGTCTCTAACATATCCCTGTGCAAATACAGGGATAATATACATTCCTGCTGAATGCCTATCATTTTACACAGAAAATACCTTCAACTTCTCCCAGATGTGAAAAAATAAAATAGCAAAGTCTGTAATTCGAACCATCTAGACTAATCTGATTTCTGACACACAATAGATAGTATTAGGTAGTAATAGATGAAGACTTGAAAGATGTTACCTTCTAGTGCTGACCTCTGTCAGATTCACAGTAAAAAGAGCTATTGTAAATTAAATCCATCTTTTTAATAGTAGCTTTTCAAATTTTGGGAGTTTAGGAAGACATCAGTTTGGCAACTCCAAAGGTTTACTAATTACATCTCTTATTCTGTTATTAATACCCACCACACACCCCCTCCATTCCCCACCCCAAGCAACATGCAATCAAGAAATTGTAGACTAACTCCTGTCTTAAAATAACTTTTCACAGTTCTAACATTTTGGTGAAACCTGTAAGTAAAATCAACCTCTTACAAGGCTGTTCTCCAGGTGACACTGTTTTCAAAAACATAGGATGAGATAGTGAAACAACCATCCACACCTTTGATAACAAGGTTAGCGTAAGCAGCATCTACTCCTGTTGGAAGCATGTATTTTATGTACTCATTCATTGTATCAATGCCAGTTACCAGACTGTGATTCTAGAGAATCAGTAACAGATCAATTCAAGCTCTAAGTAGGTCTCACAGCCCAAAGGAAGCCTTCACACTGCAGCATCTCCTTCAACAGGATCCAAACTAGCCAGGTTGAACAACAGCAGTCACATCCTCTGAACACAGGAAGCAGTGAAACCTCTCCTATTCTTAGTAGTCGCTGCCATAAATGTCCTTGTCTGATAAGCTTCTCTAACATTGCATGATTTTCCTCCATAAAGTTTCACATTTTTTCCATAAATAACAAATAAAGGCAGCAATGCAGATACACTTTTTAACCACAAATTACCAATACTAACAAAGAATAAAGTGAGGTGGGACAGAAAATTTGAGGAATTATGTTTAGCTATCAATACATAAATACTACTTATAAGCGTATATGCCACCTCTCAACTACTTTACAAGTTGAATTAACTTGTAGACTCTATGCTGTATGAACACATGCATGTATGCATACATCTCTTGTAGCTTGCTGTTGCATTGGTGCAAAGCAGCCTGGTATACTCCCTAGGGAAAAAGAAAAGCAAGAGTCATAGCAAAGTTTTAGACAAACATGGGTAGATTTACCAAATATACATTAAAACCTGTATTAAGAGACAATGAAGCGTATACTGAAACACCTGAATTTGTAAACACAAGATTTAAAATTATACATCACAACCCACCCTGTATCTGTTCTGATCAGTCAAATTAAGTTTCTATTTTTTTTAAAAGCTTTTCAGCCCAATATGCAACTTCAGCCATATCAAAGCAAGCCAAATATAATACGCACAAGACACACCACACAATTTTACAAGCTTCATTTGCAAATATACTTTTCTTTTCTGCTGAAGAGCCTCCTTTTAGAGCTCTATTATTTAAAAGCATTCTTTTTGTACTTGGATTTTCTGATTTAACACTGCACAAACTAGTTAACACTTTTTTTAAAAGGTATTTTGCCCACAGAACTATCTGAGAAGGTAATTAGCAGGAACCAAGAATTTTAACAGCATCAAGATTTTTCTAAGTTGTGCCACAAGGAACAAACCAAAACACACATAGATCAAGCCTAGGAGGAACCTTAAAGCATTCTGTAGGGCAGTACTGAGCATACTGCTAGCAAGTAAACTTGGAGAAAATGTTCCTTCACATTGTTCTCTACTTGAACACAAATCAGGGTTTTGAAGCACACACAAAATTTAAGATCATCCTTGAGAGTTAAGATCTTGTCTCAGACATGAGGTAAGCTCGCTCAGGCTTACCATGGATCAGGTACCATAAAATTAAGTCTCAACACTGCAAGTGATATCATTTAGTAATTCACAGCCCAATACCAGCCCCCCGAGACTCGGTTCACATTAGATTAGCACACAATTTAAAGGGAAGGTGCAAGCTCTACAGTAGAAAGCTCCAATTCACATCTGCCATGTTTTCAGTGTGGCATTCTAAGCATGACCAATCATGAGAACAAAATCCACCAAAACAGAGTCATGCTTATCAACTTACACAGGCCTTTTCCCATGCTTTTTGTATCCTTTACCCTAAAAGGCACTTAAGTAATTTTTGCATCTGGAATTTGGATACTAATACCAGCCCATAAAATTGCTCCATTTTGTGATTGTTTCTGAAAGTTTAACCTGTCTCTGTCTGGAAGCCAAAATAAGCTAGTGGAACAAAAGTGAGATTTTTTTGTAACACCACCACAGAGCAGTTCCTATTGCTTCAGCACTTTAATACAAAGACTAGAGTATACTCCAGTGTAACTTACACAGCAGTAGTTAGAAGGCTTTAAGCACATTAAACTAACCAGCTAGCAGCACTCTTACTACATGTATTACTCAAGAATAATCTGAATAGCTTTAGGAATGCTAGTAAACCCGTATTTGAGGCTGGGGGAAGGAAAAAGATTACTCTCTGGACTGTCTCACACCATTAAATGCCTCAAGTATAAGCAGCTCATTCATTTCTTGAAGATACACGGTCTTCCAACTACAGCTCAGGTAGATGTAGGTTACTTGAACAACTTAAAAGTCTTTACCTTCTGTTTCTTTTGGAGATTCTCTAAAACAGTGGAAGAATGATGACATTTAATTGTATTACAGTTCAGTTTGTTTGGGGGTTGTGTTGCGTTGTTCTTTTTTTTTTTTTTAAGTGATGCCAATAGCATACCTGAAATATTTCATAACACATCCTTCCCTTCTAGTTATATGTTTTAACATGAAATAAAGTATAAAGTGGGGCAAAAAATAAAGTGAAAAAGGAAGTTCTGTAAGCATTGAAGAGCAAAGGAAGATTGACTTGCTCCCCCATCCAAATTAAAGGCCTAACACAGGCTAGAGGATTATGGTGCAGAACTAACAGGGCAAGTATGATGAATATTCCTCCCACCCAGTGTTGACAGGAACTGCTCTAGTTTTACTATCAGATTTTTTTTTTTTTAAAACATGGAAGACTGTAGCAGCACAAAATGATACCACTGATCCACCAGGCGTCTTGCTTTCGCTGCTTTTCAGCAATGCATTTATTTTGATAAGGAAAACCCACACACATTAAAATCATTTTTATTTCTCTGCATTTTGACACCAAAAGTGAATGTCTTATGTTACAATTTTCTACGGGATAGACACAAGTTTAGCTATTTGGAATACTCAAAAAAGCAGATTAAAAGGAAAAAAACATTAATCTTAACAGAAAAAAACCTATTGCTTTGCTACAAATTACCATGTCTGTCCCAAAGTTCACAGAAAGTAAAGCTTCCCCATAGCTATAGTCTACACAATAATTGTACCTAGAGTAAAAAGATACCGACTATTAACTAATGTTCTCAGCTTTTTTTAAGTAGCACTTTAAGTAGTATGATTTATTGCGATTTTGTACCAAGCAGTAAGACTGAAAATCTGTATGCTGCAGATTTAAGCACGCCAAAATGTATACATTCACTTTAAAAAATTGCTTATCACTCTCCATTGGTAGTAGTGAAGTCAGCTTCCTGCTCAACTAAGTTACACAACATAGAGTGCTTCAGCATGCTTCCACTGAGAAAAATATTCAACTGCATGAAAGTAGTAAATCTCACCTTAGAAGATGAAAATGTATCAGAAAATGCAGCAATGCCCTCTTCATACAAGAATAAAACTTCATATGGAATTTTCACGCTTTGAGAATACTTCTCTACATAAATGTTTAAAAGATAATCACATAAAGCTGTATTGGAAAGACGTTGCTTTTTTAAAAAAGAAAGAAGACCACTGCTAATGTTGGAATTTAGACTACTTCAGATAACAACCTTGACCCAAAAAAGTATTTTAGTAGCAAATTATGTTGATGCAATTTTTATTTTCCACGCATATTACTAATAAATAAGTTCCTCTAAGACATCTCTTGCCAATTAGATTTGTATTCAGCTCCTACAACACTGTAAGCACTAAAATGAAGGGATACATTTAAATGATGTTACACTTAAACTGAGTTACTAATATACTAAGACTTTTACAGAAATGCAAACAGGTTTACAGTTACATTTACTAAAAAAAGTTACAGTAATCTACAGAAAAGGTGGTTGTTGTACTCCCCCTACATCCTAAGAGATCAAATTCAGTTACACTGTTACTGAAAAAAAAGCACACAACGCACTTCCCTTTATCATCTGTTAACACCCTCCTCCACAACAATCTAGAGACAAAGTACAACTTCTTTTCTGTACAAAGGAAAAGCTTTAAAAGCACAGCTTCACATTTTACTACATTTTTGCCCTTCTCAGCTTCCAAGTTCTTGCAAAAACAAATATACAGTTTCTCAAAAATGAATTTAAAGGATGTCCACATTAAAAAAATAAAGCCTACAAAAAGTTCAAAGATCTAAAAAAATGTTACTCCTATATGGCAAAGTGATCTCCTACTAGTCCAAAGTCCAGAAAGTTACTGATGTCCATTTAATATTATCTTGCTTCATTTGTCCAATTTATCATGTTCCAATCACATTATTTGTAAGAAGTCCTTGAGCCGATGAGAGGGCAGAAGAGTTCTCTACAATTAAAAACAGGAGATCAAATCAGGTGTGCCTTTCAGAAAGATACTCATTTGGCACTCCCCTGAGAGACAATATTCAGATATTTAGAGAAAGGATTTCCTTGATTAGTTTCCATAGACTGATAAACCAAAAACAGGAAGACTGAAACAACAACAAAAAGAAGAATTTTTATCCAGAGAGGAATGGAGCGTTCTTTTTTTGTTGGTGGTTTCTCCAACTTGATGTCAGTTGAGGTACCGTATTTTGGAGCATACTTAGAGAAACTTTCATCCATTCTGAAGTCACTGTGCTCTATAGGCCGGCTAGCAGCTCCTTTAATTGGTCTACGGCAGCTAGCACTATTAATTAAAAAAAAGCATATTTAAAAGAGCGATCTAAGGTATACAGGGAAATTTTAGTATAATTAAAGAACTAAAAATTATTTCTAGTGAATGCAGTACCTGAAATATTTGTCTCAATCTCTAACATGTCTATCATTACTATTTTTAAAGTTAATCATTCAGTGTTCAAACAAAACACCCCTAAAAAAACCCTCAAGCACTCAAATGTCACTTTACATAGGGTGAACCCTATCCACATCATTAATGGATCATAACTGGCAATGAAACTCTAGGAAGTGTCTCTCTCTATTTGCATCTTTAATGTGCAGCCCCACTGGTATTTCTAAACTTGAGACTGTCCCTGGCCATTAAAATATCTACTGATAGCTAAGCCAATACAGAAAGCCAGAAGACAAAGCAGTGAGGGTTAAGAAACCCACATACATTGCCAGATCCTTATATATAAGGAATACACATGTATGATTTTTATTTTTAAAAAGTGGCATAGATTTAACTAGACTGATAGACCTCAAAACAAGAGAGCACAAAGCTGAGTGGTGAGCAGATATGCCACAGCAGTATTAGCGGGTACCATATATTGTCCTTATGGTAAGACTTCATGCAACTGCAATTTAAATTGAAGCTATAATTAACAAGCTGGAAACACAGGAGTTGATTTCACATCTTAACATAGCGAAACTTTTTCTCATATTCTTCAAACAGAACAAAGTTTTGTGAATTGCTTAATTATCTGGAGGGTTGTTTCAATTTTTGTTTAAATACAAAGTTGTAAAGAAAAAATTAATATCCCTTCTTAGATGCCATCCTTATTCATGCTAAGAATAATCTTTGACTACAACAGGACCGCTAAAGGAAAATAGGGCATTTGAAAATTCTTTTTGGCTTTCAAAAAGAAAGCTCAAATCTATGCTGGGAGATCTTTCCTTAATTTAACAGCAGGCCTAAAGCTACCGTACCTAGCCAAAAACTTAAGTATCGTGAACCATTATCAGAAAAGACTTTTCCATTTAACTTCCAGCATCTCAAAGTTCCAGTAATAATTCCTACTATAGCTCTACCCTGTTCTCCCACCCTCAATTTAAATAAAGAGGAGGCTGTTTTGGCTAACAAAACCAGGTATATAGAACAGAAGAGCTAGGTGGTCATCTCAACTGTCAGTGACCCAGAGTGCAAAAACTTTTCCTCAGAAATCTACCAATATAATCAAGAGATACTTCGCCACTTAAATAGGTTTAGAATAACTGAGAAACAAGCCCCCATAAGCCTTAGAAATACCTAATTCCTGTAGGCGTTGATACTTCATAAGGGAACATTTCCTTAAGAATATCCCTTTCTACATTTTGTTCTTCTGTATGAGTTCTCTCCAGCACCTAGGAAACAAAAAAGTTACAGGTCTAACAAACTGCAAAACAAAGAGCACAGCTATCTCAGTGACCATAACCACGTGCAATTTATAAGAATTAATTAGTCACCCAGTGACATTCAAGAAGTTTACTTTTTGGTTTTTAAAAGTTAATTTAACCTTTGTTAGTGGCAGCTGTCTGGTCACCTTTGGTGTCTTAAAGCATTTAGTGTTCTCCTCAGTTTCCTTTAAGATAAAGAATACGTTGTATAAATACAATACACCTGCAGCCAATGATGTAGATGATCAAAAAAGCTTAACCATCACCTCTATCATGGCTGTGTTGAGCAGATCACAGGATTGGTTGTGGGCAACATGGTTAAAAAAGCACTGATGTGGGCAATATGTTTCTTCTTGCTGTAATAAACAATGCCACAGTACAGTAAAATACTAACTGAAAAAAAAACTTACGCAGTTTGAAATAGAAGGTTGTGGGGAAACTTCTATTTGACAACTAAGTCTACATTGCAGTCACATTATAAACAATAAAAAAAGCAAATAAAGCAGCCCATTTCATGAATCTCAGACCCATTGGTAGAATAGGCTTCACAAGTATTAATACAAGTTTATCTACAGTAACTACATGAAGCAATGAACTCCATTTAAATTCAGCCAAGCATTATCTTCTAATGTAAAATTCCAAATATTACAGTACTAGATTAATACAATTACATATATTTGCAAGTGCTTTAGACAGTTCTCCAAGAGATAAATAATTCTGGTGGCTTGAATAGGTTAACAGTAAACGAATTATCTTTCCTGACAACTGACTGGAATCTACTGACGCTTTTTAAAGTCTGAAGTAATCCTACTATTTGATTCCCTAAATTAGGGTACATTGTGGTTCTTCAGACAGGCTGATTTACAAGATCAAAGATAGATAACCCAATTCTGCTGTCTTTGAGCTATTCAAAGGATTTAGAAGGAAAAACATAATCTACATTTTCTACAGAAAAATAGCACAAAGAGAACTAATACACCAAAATATAGTT